AAAAAAAAAAAAAAAAAAGGAGAAGAAGAAATAGGGCCTGGGGAGATAGCTCAGAGGCATAAGTACCTACCTGGCAAGCACAAGCTCCTGAGTTCAATCCCTGGACGTAGACCCACATGCTGTGTTGACCCTAGAGCCAGGTGTGATAGTGCACACCTACAATCCCAGCACTTGGGAGGCTGAGGCAAGAGGAAGATTGTTGTGAGTTCAAGACCAGCCTGGGGGCTACATAAGTGAGCACAAGGCCAGCCCAAACTCCATAGTGAGATCCTATCTCAAATAATGATAATAATAATTATTATTGTTTCTAAGACATTTGCTTTAGAGTCCTAGGTTATTCCCAAGTTACTGGGTGGGATAATGCATGAAATCTGTTGCTTACTGACAGACACATCACCTGTGTTTAAACCAAATTTCTCTTTGTGTGTACAGGTACAACAGAATAGCTCGGGAATGGACTCAGAAGTATGCGATGTAATTAAAAGAAATTATTGGAAAACCTCTACAAATAAAGATAGGGGAACTCTGAAAGAGAAAGTCCTTTTGATTTCCATTTGACTGCTTTCTATGAGCCCACGCCTCATCTTCCCCTGTGCACATGTTTACCTGATACAGCAGTGCTGCGTGTTGTACATACTTGGAAACAACAAACTAGAAATACTGTACTTCTGTACCAACATTGCCTCCTAGCAGAGAAGTGTGTGTGTGACAAGCCGGTTCTTCAGGCAGAACCTAGGTGTGAGACTAAAAAGCTTTCCTTATTGACTTAAATTTGGATAACAGCAAGGTGTGACAGGTGGTGGGTACATGTGTGTGCATGGATGGGGAAAAGCTCCACTGACCTGTAGGAGGTTGTTTTTAAGTGGAATCTGTTTATATGCAAAAACAGTTACAAAAAGCAAGGTGAAGAACATGAAGCTGTTTCTGTATTCATTTTATTCTGAAGGACCTTCAACTTAGGTGAAAGTTATGACCAACCAGATTAAATTCTACCCATATCCTGTATTTTAAGCTCTAAGTTTAACTGGTCAACATTTAAATTATTGGAGCTACTAGTACATAAAGTGTGATGGGCTTTGTTCCCAACTCTTACATCTCTCTGCCCCTTTGTCCTTTTAGCTCCTTTCTCTCCATATTCTTTGGTTTGTATGTGGTTTCTCAGTTAATACATAGCTAATAGCTCTTATTTTTCTTGTTTTTAACTGCTTAGGTCTATTTGGATGTAAGGGTGAAAATTCATTTGATGGAAATACTTGTGTATATTTAAAGACCCAGTTGCTCCTCTGGAGCTT